GATCTCGTAGTCGAGCTGTCTCGACTAGAGCTTTCTTACTTGTTTTTTTTTTTTTTTTATGAAAACCATTTATTGATAGGGGTTTCATTCATTACATAGTTTTCCATTTGAGGCCTCTAAGTATACACCTAGTACTTTGTGTACAATTTTAAAATACTTTTTAGAATCGGGCCCTCCAAAGAATTCTCTAAATGATTCATTCACCCATTTGGCTAATTGCTTCCATATAAACTTCGATTTTTGCAACGCTTGCGACATGGTTAAGCAGACATATAGACGCGGTTAGAATGAATCAGCACTACATACACTATATACATACACATATATTAGTGATTAGGTTTATTCTTTGATATCGGCAACATACCCTGTATATTCGCATTGTTCCTTTTCAGTCCATGTTAGGCTAAAAGAATTCGTAATTCGTAATATCGTAATATATTTATAAATTATACCTGGATTTATTCCATTTTAAATTATTATTAATCTAATTACAATTGTACGCAATAAAGGCCTTGAGCAAGAATCTAGCCAAATGGGACAGCTGCAGCGTGGGCGTGGCACTTTTGTTGTTCATCTTCAGTGGCTGAATGGCATCGAGAGGTGGGTGGCTCCGCGGCTGGGTGGTTGAGTGGTGCGCTTTTTGAATGCTTCATAAAGCCAGAAACATATGTTCGTGGTCTTTATTTGGTGGTCAGCCGTGTGCTGGCCTCTTTAACCGCTGCATGTTTGTCACTTGCGACCACGATGCCCGTTTCCGTTGGCCAGTCGCCATTTTTTATTGCTTCGGTTGATGCTGCTGTCGCTGTTGTTGTTTTTGTTGTAGTTGCTGCTGCTACTGCTGTTGCCGTTGCTGTTGTTGTTGTTGTTGTTGTTTGCTAGTTACACGGAGCTGTAAAATGTGTGGCAATTGATTGGCCATGGCCAGCGGGCGGAATGTACGTGATTTAGCGAGGCAGCGACTACCGAAAAGTGCATTTGCAGATTGCCTCTGTCTGGATGGATGGAACAAATAATGGGAAAGCATAATGCAAAAACAGGAAATAAATTATTCTGCCTGCTCTCGATATGTACATATGTATGTATGTATATAGGTATGTGTGTGTGTGTGTGTGTGTGTGTGTGTGTGTGTCTGTATGCATTCCGAGTGGAGTCCCCCAGCCCATCATATCTATGGGCCTGACCCTAAGCCAAAGCTAAAGCCAAAGCCAAAGCAAAAGACAGAAGCAGTCCGTGTAATAACAACAATCAGCAACATTTTCCTGCTGCTGCTGCTGCTCGATGATGATGATGATGATGATGATGACGATAATCTGATAAACATGAATCAAAATCTTAATGATTACAGTAGTGAACATAAATGTGATATCGTATGAATATACATATGTACATATCTAAAAGTGTACGTACACTGCTAGTCCATAATACCTCTAAATCTTTAAAATATATAAAATATCTTCTGAATCTGGCAAAACTTGAAAATGAGTGTGTCTAATCTATGTATGTATGAATATGTATTAGTATGTATGTTTGTATTTTTACCAAAAACTACCTAACAACTGGTTTTTGATTTTCTCCTTTTTCAAATATCCGTTTACCAACGTTTACTCAATTAGGCATAGATATGTGCATTTATGTATATTTATAATGTTTTTTTTTATCTTACTTAAATAATTTTGTATTATCTAAGTAGAACTTAAAATAAAAAATAAAAACCATTCTAACTTGATTTTGTTGAGCAGTGTCATCCTAATGATCATTGCTGAATTGTCTGGGCTAATTTTGTTTGATTTTGATCGAATTAGCGTAAAATTGAGCGTTCGGCAACTTTAGGTAGTCCACGGGTCGCGCTCAGTTGGCGAAGGTGATGGCCCGGGGATAATCCTGGCCCCGGCAGCCCGGCAGCCCGGGAGCCCGGGAACGGGAACGTGCGCTGGTTTGTCAAAGCCGAAGTTCAGATTGCACTGGCCGCGTGCGTTGCATTAAGAGGCGTTGCAGCAGATGATGATTTGCATGGCCATCAACATGTTTGCTGGCTGACGTTGGCAATCCGATCTGGCGCGTAATTGGCCAAGTTATTATGCGCTTTCTGCTTGCTCCTTTGCCAAATTGATTTTGCTTCGTGCCTCATCAGCAGCGACAATTGCCCTGGCCCTGGCAAGATCATCATGCTGCCGCTGCGCTGCCGTTGTTGCTACACACGTAGCCTCAATGCCTCAGGTTTCGCATCGAAACTTCTTTGGACTTTGCCATTTTAATGCTGCAGCCGCTGCCGTTGCTGCTGCTGCTGCTGCTACTGATGTTTTTTGCGGTTTCACACTTTGGTTAAGGTTCCATGCCCTTCGCACTCAGGAGCCAATGGGCAATGGGTCAAACCAGCAGCGATACGTCTTGCTAGCCATACTAACGACGGCTGTTCCAGTTGTTTGGTTTAATTTATTAATGTGAAGAGCACACACAAAAAAAAAGGTAGGTTGTATAAAACTATTACAAATATGTTGGTTGGGCAGTCGAACTCAACTGCTTACATAGATCATCTTAATCTGATATCTTATCTACTTAATGTACTTGTCCATAAACTTTTTGTGGAAGTCCGAGCGCAGGGCGTCGTTAACGAAATGAGTTTTCTTTTCTGGTGCCGAGCGTGCGCAGTTTTTGAAGACAACATCGTCGTCCCAACGACGCTTTATTTTCAGATCGCCGCCATTGCCGGAAGTACGTCCAGCAGCTGATGCGGCTGTGCCGGGCTCATAGTTAATTAGTGGATTGCCCGATAGAATGTTCTCCATGCGAATGCGTTCGTCCTCCTGTTTCTTTTCAGCTTCACGGCGTGCCGTCTCTTGCAAGCGTTCCTGTTTGATCTTCTGCAACTCGGCTAGCAGCGCCGCATCATCATCGTCCGAATCGCTTTCGGACTCCGAGCTGTCATTGTCCAGTGGCTCATCTGCATCGAGATTGGCAGCATGTTGTTGCTGCTGCTGCTGATGTAGCTGCTGCTGCGACAGACTGTCTAATTTGGTACGTTTGCTTGCGCCGCTTCCACTAGCGTTGTTCGCCTCAATAGCTTTGCGCACAATGGAGGGCAGCGCCTTGCTCGAGCTGTTGCCAGAACGCAAATCGCGCTCGCGTTCCTCGAGCTCCTTGCGAAAATCACGATTGCGTATCTCCTCGCTGGTTCCTTGGCCAATTTCTCTGCAAGTGTTGATATAACGTTTACAAAATGTGGAAAATGTTTATACTTATGTACATACATACATATATGTATATGAATGTGTACATATACGTACCTGTATTTAAGTTTGGTATGCCCAGGCAAATCGCGACTCGAATACTGTTTGCTGAGTGCGCTCAAATCTTTTTCACCACGTCCAGAGCCACCGCGCGCTGGATCAAATGTTGGACGCGCTGCTGTAGTCATTTTAAATCTCTAAATTTTTCAAAGAAAAACAAACTTTATTTAAAACAATTCTAGTTCAGTGAATTCTATCAATTTGTGCCTATTTTGATGCGTATCAGCTGCTTTAGTGTTGAGTTTCGATAACTATACTGGCTGAGTGACCTATCGATGGGCTGACTGACCTGACGAGATTTCCAGTTGACGTTAGATACAAATAGACAGCCTAATTTTTTAGTATTTTAATGACAGATACAAAATTTTATATAGAATCACTAATCATATGCGTTCTATGGTTAATTTTATAACGTCTTTTGGTGAAAAGCATTACGAATAATCGAAACCAAAACTATCGATAGCTAACTAAGCGGCAGCTCCTTTATCCAGCGTTGCCAGAAACTTATGCGAAACCACGCGAAATTCCACAAAACAAGTAAACATGCCACTGGAGCCCCAGCGGTATAAATACTATAAAACACAATTGGGCGATTCATTGCAGAGCGCCACAGCTCTCATTCGTCATTATTACACCACATTGGGCTCCCAAACATCACAGCTAATCGTCCAAGCAAATCGCATTTGGGAACTGAGTCAACGGCACCGTTTGCTTGCTGGGTAAAGATGCCGCTTGTCTACCTTTGCGTACTAATTAACATTAAATTCCCTTAGCATAAAGGAGGCTGCTGCCGCCACCCTGCTCTCAGCTTGCCATGACGCCTACCAGCCCATCTACCACAGCATGTTAGTTCTGAACCCTTAATAATGCTAAGAAAAAGCCAAACTGTTATAGTTAATATATTTTCAGAAAGCAGCTACAGGAAGCAGTTTTTGAGATCTCTATTCATGTGACAGACTTCGAACGTGAATACCAAGCTCTGCAATCTGAGCTCGGCCAGGTGGACGAGCTGCGCTGTTGTTCACTAGCCAAATGCAACGCTTGGTTAGCACAAACATTGAGAGTATTACAAACGCAGGTCAAGTTCTTGGAGTTGGATTCACGTGCCCTACTGCCTGGGCTCGTCGATAGCACAGCAGTCAAACAGTTTCAACGCGATCTTGAGGTGACTGCACACTACAAAGCTAGTATTTACTTGGGGTTGGCTGAAGCCGATCGACGTTCTGAGCTTTTGCCTCCGATTAATTGAAGGACGACTAACCGGCACTACACAATTTATTTAAACAAAATAAACGTCTATTAGTTATAATTTCATACATTCTATCGTCTCCAACAAATCAATTTCTATGCTGATTCGCGTCGTCGTTTCCTGCTCCTTGTCGCGGCTCGATGATGGTCACAAGATCACAAAACAAAAACAAAAAAAAATATAAGCAATACAGCATTGGATTGTTTTTTTAAGCACTGCAATACTTGAAATTTATTTAAAACATTTGTAATTTGGTGTTGTGTGATTCTGTCTGTATGTTGTTTATGGTTTTCATATCATAATCCTCCTCCAAGAAATTGCCAAATGCAAAACAACACCTAAAACTAGAATGAAAAATCGGTCAACTTAATACCAATGTTTACTATTTAAGCGATTCATTGGGTATCCAGCTTTACTCACATTCCAAACAAATCCCAAGCGTGTTGCACTCTTAGCGTAGACGTCTTGCTTCACGTTCAGATTCGAGCAGCGTCAAGATATCACCCTCACGGACGGGACCCTTCACGTTACGGATGATTTGACGGTTCTGTTCTCCAAGGAACTCCACTTTGACTTGGGTACACTGGCCCTGGGAGCCGGTGCGGCCGAGAACTTTCATGACGCGAGCCCAAACAACTGGTTTGTCCATGTTTTCTGTGTAATTTAAGTGAGCTTCTTTAGAGAATTCACGTGCGAGTTGCGCTTCAATTGACAGACGCAAGCGAAAAGGAAGTTGGCTGCTTCTCGTTTTGACAACGTAAAGGTGGCTGCGCTAAGCCACAGCGTTGCTTTGATAAGACTGGCATTGTCCAATTGTCAAATTGTGTATATTTGCCTTCTGTTCCTTAATGGGCTGTTCACGCAGCTAATAAATATTTTATTCAAATAAAACAATTAGTATAATCTCACATTTTGCGACATAAATAAAAAAAATACTCAATTTGGACATTTGACAGATTGCCTTTTTTAACAGTGATGCCACTAACCACAGTATTGTCAAGCAACGAAATGAAGAAAAAATTTGAATTAAAAACTAGGAACGACAGTTAGACAGTAGCATATATTTAAATTTCAAGAGGCAAGTTTAATTAATAAAGTATAAACAAATAACATTTAAGTGGGTATTTGCACTGCTTCCCAACACTTTGTGAATAACTATGGCAACTCTAAGCTGTCATTTGACGCGGCACCACGTAGACATTTGACAAGTGAAAGTCGGCACAATTCGTGTTACTTCGGCTGCGCGTATTGTTGCTGTTCCCCCATTCGGTTAGTTTCGCTCATACGCGTCGGCTGCTAGTTGCTCAACGGTGCGATTTCATTGCTGTCTTTATTTTTTTTTCGTACATTCAAAACCCATCAGTGAAAGACATCAAATTCAATCAAAATGAAGAACCTAATGTTCTTTCTGCTGCTCGTTTTGCCCACCATCATTTGCACGTTCAATGCCCGTAAGTATTGCATTTAATTGATGTATTTGCCGACAGCAGCAGCAAAGGAGGTGGCCGCGGCAGCGGCAGCTACGTGGCATTTGACTACGGCCATTTGATAAGTTGAGGAAGAGTAGATAAAGCGTTTTTAATGCACTTTTTACGAAATTTGCATATTTCCTCCTTTATTCTACGTATTGTGGCTACAACTGCTGCTGCTGTTCCTGCCAGCGAGAGAAAAGTGTTGAGTTGGCACCGCTTAAATGGCTCGGTCTTACTCTCATTCATGTTGTGTTTTCGTATATTGCAATGCTGTTTTTGTTGTTGTTGTTGCAGCAAACAAACTTGGTGCCTATGCAGCCGAGTCTGTTGAGGACGATCTAGTGGATGTGGAGAGCGAAGAGGGCGCCGTGACTGGTGAGGATGCTGATACGGAAGATGACGCGGATAGCGGCAGCACCAGTACCTCACCCAATGCGGATACCTATCTGTTGTTCACGAAGCCACTGCACACACCTGGCCAGCAGCTGGATCTGCCCGGTGGCAAGCCTGTCGAGTTCCTAATTGGTTTCACCAACAACGGCAAGGAAGAGTTTATTATTGAGTCTGTGGAGGCGTCTTTCCGCTACCCCATGGACTACAACTACTTCATCCAGAACTTCTCCGCAGTGGCGTATAACCGCGAGGTGAAGCCAGGCATCGAGTCGACCGTCTCCTACACATTCATGCCATCCGATCAGTTCGCTGGCCGTCCCTTTGGGCTGAACATTGCTTTAGCCTACCGCGACGCCAACGGCATCCAATACAACGAAGCTGTCTTCAATGAGACTGTGCTGATCTCTGAGGTGGACGAGGGCTTGGACGGCGAGACTTTCTTCCTGTACGTTCTGCTCGCTGGCATCGTGGTCTTGCTGCTGGTTATCGGCCAACAGTACCTGCTGGGCAGTTCCGGCAAGCGCAAGCGTGCTGCCGCCAAGAAGGTCATCGAGACCGGCACTGCCAACGACAGCAACATCGACTACGACTGGGTGCCCCAGGAGACACTCCGTGCGTTACGTAAGTGTCGCATCTAGATATATGCCTTATACAACATGTAGCTTATATTCTCACTATGCTCCCTCCACACAGAGAAATCTCCGCCCAAGTCGAAGACGCCGAAAACATCGCCCAAGCCAGGCAAGCAGGCCAGTCCCAAGGCAAACCAACAGAGCCCCAAGCAGCGCAAGGTGAAACGCTCCGCGGGCGACGACTAAAGACTGCACAGCCTGCTAAGCTACATCTACACACAACACACACCCACACATACACATACACGCATACATTCATAGAAGAACACCCTCAACATCTGCTTGCAGTCTAATATTATGTTTAATACTTTTTTTTGTCGGTCAATTGCTATTGACAATGTAGAGATTGTTAGTGTTTAACTCGCAAAGTACGACGAGGTGACAGCTAGGGACCGTGCTGATCCAATTTCCAATGATTCTAAAAGTTAGTGAATTGGTTTTTTATTGCAATTTACTTTATTTTTTCAATTCGAACTGCCACTGCTCCATAACATACTCTTTATAAAAAAAAGGTCCTAACTTTATGCCGCGCCGTATAATTGTCTTCGTTTGTTGAAGATCCCTGGACGCGTGCGAAAAAACTTTCAATTATCAATTATGCGATAAATGAAATAGGCATTATTATTTTCTTGCGTTAAATGAGAAGTCAATGTTTATTGAACTTTTGTCTGTCTATGAGCAGAGCACAACAAGCGTAAAGCGGAGCTTTTCCCAAAAACAAATAAAAGAAAAATGTGAGAAGTTATAAATAAATTAAATGTACTTTGAATCTGTTGTTTTATTTGTCACAAGCCTTGAACACCTAACGGACAATGAAGTATTTCTACTCGTCAATCACACGAAATCAAAAGCCGTTTTACAAGTACAGTAAAGAAAAATAATTCAAAATCCAGTTTATAAATATCCAAAAATATGTATGTATATGTTAATTAAAATTTATTTTTTTAATTAGTTTCTGAATGGGCAAAATTAAAAAAGTTAAATTAAAAAAGGGTCTGATAAAAATATTAAATAATTTTACGTTGCTGTTATTAAGACCATTTTGAAGCGAGTTCATATAATCGGCAAAGGTAGTCAAACAAAAATGCTTTAGTACTTACAGATTTTAGATTAATATTTTAAAAATAAAAGGTCATTCATTGATTTAAATTCCTTGTATATAAATATCCTCATATTTAAATTTTGTAGTTTTTCGTCGTTCATGTGGAGGAGCTTCCGTGAGTGTGGAGCAGAAACTGCTGTTAGTTTACATACTATTATCTGTTAAGTCAGGCTATTTCGGTATTGCAACAATTACTTGCTCGCAAACAACTACAGCATATGATACTTTCGATAGATGCGCACAGTACTCGATACTTTCGATAGCAAAACAATAAAAGTTTCGAACGATTGACGATGACGAACGTATAAAGAGCAATATTTAAACAAATTAAATCCATCATAAACGAACCAAAGTGTACAAACAGTGCATCCGTTGTATCCATAATCGATTACGTGCATTTACGCCACCGGGCGACTCAAAGTCGCGGTCGCCGCCAACATAGACCGTCACGTCGACGTTCTGCAGTCGCCAAGTTGGAGGCCATCTAATATTTGACAGAGGCGTAAAGATGACCGCCTCGGACAAGTATACTTATCAGAGGACTGTGCTCTGCCTAGCGCGCGTACTGGCTGGCATACAGCCCACCCCATGGGACAAGGTCGGTGCAGTCGGGGGTGTTGCTAGCTGTTGACAATGGCTGTTTGATGGAATGCGAAGGGCAGGTGGGGGTGGGGGCGTACTGGCCGCAAATTGGAAATCGAATTTTCGCGCAACTAAAGTTGACCTTGGGCGCAACAGACATGCGTATAGTGATGACGTGCCACATAGCCCAGAGAACAGTTCTATGGAACGAGTGTGGGGGGGGGGGGGGGGGGGGGGGGGTGATGTTTTATGCCTTTAAGTGTGTTATTATTGACTAACTACAGCTGTCAATCTCTAATATCTCGTTTGCCGCCATAGGTGCAGACCCTGTTCCGCTACTGCCCACAAGAGAATGCATCTGGCGTCTTTTGCCTGGACTCCAGAGCACAAGATGCAGTCATCGCATTGGGCATTTACTTCCTGGAAGGCGGCTGCCAGCATGAGTCACAGATAGTGCCGTATCTGCTGCGTCTGGCCAAGAGCCTGCCCAAGGCAAGAATTCACGATGAGCGCAACAGCAAAGTGGAACGTAAGTGCTACTTAATATTCCCCAAATGATATTTAATCCACTGATAAACATAATACCTTGCACAGGTGTGCGGATACCCGCAGCAGAGAAGTTCAGCTTCTGCTTGAACACCCTGCTCTCGGACATAGCAGCGAAATGCCCAGAACTGCGAGAGGAAATCATACTGAACCAGGTCGAAACACTGGGTACGCTCGCCAACATTGTGAAGCCCAGCAAGGATTCTAGCAACTCCACACCGTCGCCCCTGGTGCTGTGCAATGCGACGGTGCCGCTGCTCTTTGGCCTGGCTCGCTCGATGGGCCGCTATGCCAGCAACAATCCGCCGTTGCTGTGTCGCATATTTCCGCCCGAGCAGCTGCCCACGCAGCGCGCCAGCGCCAGCGGCACTGGCAGCAGTGGCTCCTTCAGCAGCAGCGAACGCCTGGCGAGTACCCAGTTTCGACCCATCATACCTCGGTCGATGTCGGGCAGCCTGGCCCACAATAGCGCCCCGGGCGATGAGAGTCGCATGCGTTCAGCGGTGAGCAAGCAGAAGCCGTCGCTGCAGAGCTACTTCTCGGTGCCCTACGATCCGCGCACGCACTTCTTTACGCGCTACGGCTCCAGCTTCAATCAGTTCCCACACATGCGTGTCAACCTGTGCGAATCGCCTGGCAAGAGCGGCCCAAAGCCGCTGTATCGCGTGCCGCCGTTTCCCATACAACATCTGCAGACCATCTTTGCCGTGTCCAAGAAGCTGCTAACCAAAGATACGCTCGAGTATCTGGATGAGCTGGGCAGCGATATATTCTCGATGCACTTGAAGAATGGCAACTGCTACAAGAGCTTCTCTGAGATGCTGAATCTGGTGCTGGTCACACTGCTGCGCGAGCTGCTGCAGCATCAGATCGACCTGCCCACGCCCTTCACCAAGGACGTGCAGGAGTTCGTCAAGCGGCTCTTCCTCAACGGCCAAACAGAGCTGCAAAACAAGCAGCAGGACCAGGAACGCGAGCGTCGCGAAGAGAACGGCATCGCCGTCGTCAACAAGTACAAGATCAACGTGATGGCCAACGCGGCCTGCGTGGACCTCCTCGTTTGGGCCATACGAGACGAGACGGGTACGTCAGCTAGCTCAGCACAGCCGCTTCAACTCAAACTTATGATTTCTACTGCGATATTTATTATCTAATACTTGGACAGGTGATGAGAGAGTATTCGTGTGCGGTTTGTCTGAGTTCAATTTGCGCTTAGTTCTAACCTCAATCTCTTTTCAATTCTCACGAGACTCAAAACTGAGCAACAATTCTCCGTATTAGGAAAGCAAAGACAAATCGGCAGCAGGAGACAGCAGACCTATGCATGCAAAATGGCTCTATATAAATCTATATATATTAGTATATGTCGTATATGAGCCGATATATGTCGTATATGAGCCGATATATGTCGTATATGAGCAATCTTAGTTCAATATTCGACACTAAGCATATCTACGTGAATCTATGCAAACTTTCTAATTCTTTAGAGTCTAAGATCTTGCTTACCTTTAAATCTAAGATCTTAGAAACTGAAATCTTTATTTTCTGCATATTAAGGTTATACATCTCTATTATAATTCTGGTTTTAGAGATGCTAAATTCTCTTTTACTTCACAGATCTAAGCTATAAAATCTACAAGTGAACTTCCAGATAAACTTTTATCTGTTGTACAGATTCTTTTTTAGCTTACAAGCACTCAAAGCCATATCAATAGGTTAGCCTAAGAATACGATATAGGATGTCTTAAGAGTATATATAAAGTAATTCTATAGACACTAGCTCAGTACACAATAGTATATGGCATAGATCAGTGTCCACACATTAGTTTGTACTACTTTATGTATGTAGGTAGTTTATTTTACACATTAGTTTCTACTACTAAAAGATATGCGACATATTGGATCGAAACATCCTATAATATTTTTTCGCATAGGTCAAACAACGCATGTTTCATTCATATACTGAAAAGTTGTTTATTTCAATTATAATTTTTTTTTTTTTTTTTTAATATTAATTTACTTTATATTATCACACGGTTAGGGCTGTTTATGCGGCTTCGGTGCTCCGAGGATAAATTTGATTTCTTTAGTTGCTTTCTTTTGAGTTCCGATACGGAATATTTTTACAGTTGACGTCGACTATAACGTGCCGTCCTTGCAAAATGGCTTGCATTTTTTATTGAAAAAAGGTCAGGAGCTGTTCCTGTCCCATCCTCCATCGCCCCCATCCGCCACCTTCGCCCTGCCCGCTTCCTCAACAGTTCCAACTAATTTGTTTTGTTTTCATGTTACTTTTTTGTATTATTTGTAATTTTTGTGTTCGTGCCCGTCGGCTCTCACGGCATGCACACGAGTATCATATAATTTCAAAGGGATCGCAACACGATTCCGGAAAGACCATTTGTTCATTGCATGATGCTGCTCCTCTACTCTCCCACTTGTTGAGGTTGTTCTCGTTGATCACGTTTAAATACTCTGCAAATCAATTGTTTATTCCCACTTATTTATACCGTTTTCTGCCCATCTGCCTTTCGCACGCACTTCACAGAGGCGGACAAACTGTGCGGGCGCTTGTCGCAGAAGCTCAATCTGGTGCTCAGTCACAAGATCGTCATGGACCACATGCCCCTGCTGATGGTCTGCTTGGAGGGCTTGGGCAAGCTGGCGCAGAAGTTTCCCAACATTGCTGGCACTTCGATATCGTACTTGCGCGACTTCCTCGTCGACCCCAGTCCGATACTGGGCAAGCTGCACGCGCACGCCATGCAGACGATGGCGCTGCAGAAGAAGGAGAAGGAGCTGACTCCCTTCAAGATCGTCGTGCAGCACTCCGACTCGCGCTCGATTGTCGACATCTTCGGCGACAACCAGAAGCAGACGGGGACTGGGCGCAGCGGCTACGCGGCATTCGAGGCACTGCGTGACGCTGCCATCGAGAATCTGTCGATTGCTCTGCGCGCAGCCCACACACTCGACCAGTTCTGTGTTCCCGCTCTGGTGGCAAACGTATCAAACCGCCTCTTCACGGCAGAGAAGCACGAGAGGTAGTATCACTATATACATAAAGAATGTTTTTTTCCATGCTAATCTGCTCTCCTGTTCGTTTAGCGAGTCGACGCTTGTCAGCCTAAACATCATTGTGATGCTGGGCCATGTGGCTGTGGCGCTCAAGGACACCTCGAAGACCACACAGAACATACTGCAGTTCTTCATACAGCGCTTCTGCAAGGTGCCGTCGGAGCAGAACGCGCTGATCGTCGATCAGCTGGGCTGCATGATCATATCGCAGTGCGAGACGCACATCTTCGATGAGATTATGAAGATGTTTTCGCGCGTCACGGTGCAGTCGGCTTCGCAGGCCTACACCTCCGATCCGGAGCACCGCAAGCAGTAC